TCCTCTTCTTAATGCTCTACCCAGTCTTACTATCAACTAGTAGTATATTATGAAGTTAATCAAAATAACACACATACATGTGATCCAGATATAATATACTTTAATTTCTTATCCAGTTCCTCCATTTCATATTCTTTATTATATCTGATTCTGTACACTCTAAAACCAGTAGGTGGTACACCAATCAGTGAAACTAGCTCCTCCTTCAATTGAGCTAATGTTATTCTCTTATCAACTTGTACCTGCATCTCTGTATTGAATAATAAATGATTAATTAAACACTGTAGAACTAGAAATATTTGCTGAAATTTAATTTTGCTATTGCTGTTTATTATAAAAATGCACAATTTAATTCCACAAAGCGTATCGTATAAGAGCTCACACTTACACCAGCAAAATTAAATTCCACATACTGTAGGGCACTCTTTTTTCAAGGGCTATAATTTAAAATTCCTTTTTTAGTGAAAGTAAATTTCACAAATCATACCTCCTTCACACCCTTTAACTGACACAATTGCTCTCTGAGGTACATGATTTGACAGAGGACCAGCAGAGTTTGGAAAAAACCAAAAAACATCAACTCTACCGTTCCAAAAATGTCATCTTTACCGTTTAAAATAGAGGTGGGATGAATGTAAAATTTTAGCATTCAAACATTCTATTGACCAAAATGAACAAATGTTCAAATGTTCACACCATGGAATTAGATTCTTATTAATCAATTAGTTTGTTGTTAGAACACTTTAATCAAATGCAGGATCCTACACATAGAGTGTATAGCTCAATGTCTAATGAGTGATACATGTACATCAAAAATCTTATTACTAAATAATTTATGGTGTGTCATTGGTTAGTAGGTGTGTGAGTAGGTGTGGTACATACCACACCTACTGACACACCTACTTAATACATTCGAATGCCTGCTGCAGCACTCAAATGTTCTTCTTAATGAACGAACATTCAAATGTTCCAACATTTGTCCCAGCCCAGCTCTACATTAAAATGCCCTGTAAGATGTTGACACACTCCCTTGCAATTATAATTTATTATTTGAGGCCACAATATTCACGTTTTCAGGGAAAATCTACAAAAATATACAAAATATAGAGCCTTCGACCCTATACGGTAAATTTTGCTTGTTAGTACAAAATTATAGTACAAGTTAATATTTATTTTACTTCTTTTCCTTCCTTTATTTTCCTTTGATATAATTTTCATTATTATTCCTCCTTCAGTTATACTAGTTGTAGTTGGTGTGGCTTCAGGTCCAGGGGGTATTGTAATCTTCAGTAGTATTGAGTTGACATAAAAATTAACATATCTGTACATCAAACTATTTCTCAATTCTTTTTGATAATCTTTAGGATCTGATGATACATACACTAACTAAAAGGAAGAAAAAAGGAGTACAAATAAAAGGAAGTGAGAAAATAATTCTAAATCATGATAGGTTGAAGATAGCTATAGCATGAAATATTGGTAGTGAATTAATATTGGTGGATTCAATAATTTTTGTTTTATTTGCATATACACATGGGTCAGCTGTATAAAAAATTTATGGTATTTCTTGGAGAAATCCCAAACAAAACTCCCATCAAAAAAATTTCATTGGAGTATTAATGTCAGTACTTGTCTGTCTTTGTATGTTGATTTTCTGAATATCTTGTCTAAAGTACATCCAACATCACTAATATCAGTAACATCATTATAATTCTTCATTACTAATCTCATACATGATGAATTGAGACTATATAACTAGAGAAAGAAGGATCAAATCAATGGAGAGAGGGAAGGTAAACAATACAATAACAATACATGTATATTACATTATTACTTCTCCTATAGTGTTGTTTTAATT